ATATTGTTTGCTTCCAAAAAAAAACAGTGTCCATACTAGTGAGCTTGGCGCTAGGAAATCCGTTCGTAAGCTTTGGTTTCGTCTGGATCATAAAGTCCAGTTCGTTTCCAAACGCAGTGGCTACTTTTGCTGCGACTAAATGCTTGGACCATCCAGCAACTTCCTCTTCTATGACTGTCTTTTGGGCCCCAGAGTCGAAAAAGAAGAGTACTTTTTCGTAGACTTAAGACCACTCATTTAATGATTTTTCCATAAGATAGATATAGTTAGTTAGATGGAGTAATACTTATCTTAACGAGAAGAAAATTGAGGTCATTGCAATAATATTTAGCGGTAAACGGGATGCCTCCATGGACCAAAAGTAGAAAAAGAAGAGTACTTTTTCGTACTTCTGCTTCCTGTAATTCCATAAGTTTCCTACGGCAGTCATAAGGACAAGCTGCGATGTTTTGCAGCCTTGTTCTAATGTTGACTGGTTCTCTTCCCAATATGAGCATGAGTATTTGATAAGTTTTCGTTCCTGTCAAGCCCATTCTGATCTCCTTGACCGTTAGCGCTGCTCCGCTGATTGGACCGAGGTCTAAACGGCTCAGCTTCGTGATTCCATGGTGTCGGATTACGGGTATTACGATCCAATCTCGAATTGCGTTGACTTATAGGAATATACTGCCACGTACTCGTGCTCTTGACGCATAACGATATGTGGTGCTGGGTCCGCTAATGTGGCTTAATCTACTCTAAACATATTGTTTTGCGCTAATCTCTCCCTTTAACTAGGTCATCAGGTCCTCGATTGCTTGCTGGTCTTTTGATTGTCTTTTGTTTATCAATGCGGGCTTTACTATGTCCCGCACGAACATTGCATATATGGTTTCACACTATATTGGCTCTCATGTTTTCCGCACGTCATACCCTGCGGAGATCATTCGGTGCACTAGCACCTGAATATCGGTGAATATACCTGAGCAACTTTTAGCCGAAGTAGTAGCAGGTTACATACTTGTCAGCTTCTGCACGATTTGCGCTCTATTCGCGGGTTGGTTAAGATTGTTTTTATGTAGGGTCTCGATTATCCAGTTATAGTTGTCTGGAACTAGCCTTAAGCCTTTGTTCGAGTTTTGGGAATTCCCCCTAGACTCTCCTTGAGTAGTAGTATCTTTTCCATAGTATCCAGGTCTGAGCTATTATGGCTTGTCTCGAAGACTGCCCAGTATTCTGGGAAATTTTCAGGACTGCCGTGAAATTTCGGAAACGACACTCGGAGGAACTTGACGGAACGGCGAGTCATTTGCGGAATTATTTGCGCTATATTTCCCCCCACCATAGTGCTTGGTCCCCCCCCAAATCCTACCACTGGCCTCGAAGTGGCGAGGGGGCGAAACGGAAGGAATTCCGGCTAACAGTGGAGGTAAAAACCGCCTCAAAATGGGCTAGCTACCCGAGGACGGTACAACAGCTCCAACACGCACGATGAGGGTCCGGAGCGGCGCAGATGGAAGCACGAGCTCCAAGTGCACTGGAGCAAACGGCGACCTGAAGGGACCCGTAGACAAAAACCGCCGCAGGATTTGGAGTGCACAGGACGAAAAACCTTCGAGGCATGGGGACTGCTTACGAATTTGTACCTACAACTGCCGTACCATTGCCTCGAAGGCGGACCAAACTATCTTGAGTGAGACCAGCAAGAGGCTTCGCTTCGACGTCATTGCTCTTCAGGAGACGAAAACCAAGGAAACGGCCATCAAGAAGACCAATGACGGGCACCTCTTCGTTCTAGGAGCGAAAGTCGACGGAAAAAACGTCGGAGGCGTGGGATTCTTGGTCCATCGTCGGATCGAACATCTTATCGACTCAACCGAGGTACTCAGTCCGCGATTGGCCATTCTCCGGCTACGCATCGACAGGCGCACCACAGTCAGCATTATTAACTGCTATGCGCCAACGTCAACAGCAACCGACGGAGAAAAGGACGCCTTCTATAAGGAACTGGAGGAGGTTACAAAAAACGAGCGATCATACTACAAGTACGTTGTTGGGGACTTCAACGCAGTCATCCACGAGGAAAGTCCGGCAACAGCACGCACTGGACCACATGGAATCGGAGTAACGAACGAGAATGGAGAGCGTTTGATGGACCTTTTAGAGGCATGCAACCTATTCCACGGAAACAGCTTCTTCGTGAAAAACGAGGATCGACGTTGGACATGGGAGAGCCCTAATGCAGCGACTCGTAGCGAAATCGACCACGTCCTCACCAACAGAAAGTGGAGTCTGCTGGACGTCAGTGTGGTAGAAGCGTTCCGCACCGGAAGCGACCATAGGCTCGTCAGAGCCAAAATCCGCCTACGAGCAAAACTTCGAAGACGTGATCACTTCCGGCCTCCTCCAATACGACTACCGCGGTATGACACTAGCGCCATGGAGGTGGCAGCTGTTCAGTACGCGTGGCAGGAGGCGCAGGACTTGACACACGATTACGACTTGCTCGTAAATGGACTTCTGCACTGCGCAACGGCATCGGCTGTTTCAGGAAGGGCCAACTCGAGGAGTAGGATCGATGGAAATGCTCGCACCCTCCTCCAACAACGGGCTGCCGTTTACCGTAACTCTGCGTCTTCACTTCTGGAACGTGCTACGATCAATAAAGCGTGCCGCATCGCTGTGAGAGAGTCGATACAGCGATACAAGGACACCCGACTGAAGGAAGCAGCAGAGGCGAGAGCGAGCCTCAAGCGATGTCGTAAGGACCTTAATGACTCTCGCTCGATCATCGCAGTTATGAGGGACGCGATGGGCAGACCGCAGACATCGAGAACGAAGATCGAGGAGATTGCCGTCAGCTACTACACGAACCTCTTTCGGTCGACGGTATCGGTTTCCCGTATTCCTACGCCAACACAAGAGGTGGCTCCGAGAATAGAAGAATGGGAGGTAGAACGCGCCATACGTCAGATGAAACCGAGAAAGGCACCTGGACCGGACCGCATCTCAGCGGACTTCTTGAAATCGGCGTCCCACACCATCATCAAGCAGCTCACCAAGCGCTTCAACAAATACCTGGACGCTCAGAGGATTCCGGACCAGTGGAAGAAGTCAAACACGGTTCTTCTGTTCAAGAAAGGAGAGCGCGATCAAATGAAAAACTACCGTCCAATTGCGCTTCTCTCGCAGCCGTACAAGCTGTTTACTAAGATCATACTAAACAGACTCGAGAGGCAATTGGACNGTATTTCTCTCTGAGTTGTCTTCTGGGTTGGCATTTATAGACTCTCTCTCTTCTACACCAATGACTGCTGTCATCGTCCGTCTGCCGGCCGGCGCGCCTGCAGACGTAAAACGAATTAGTTCGTGTAAGAAATCTACGTCTGTTGCATTTCATTTCATGGTCGGAATCCGACCGTAAAGAAATAATATATAAATCTGCAGGTTTCTATACCTATGAATGTGAGCGGTGCCCAAATACCGTATCGCTAATGGACTGTAGAAATTCAATTAAGCAACGGGATAGAGCGCACCGCGCTAGCGGCAAAGCTTGGGTTATCTTCTTGATTGCACACCTACTCGATTGCATCAAAAATATTACTTAAAGAAATAGTTATACTAGCTGAAAGCCCACAACAACCTCATGAACACTTCCATGAGCTACCTACGATCGGGTACGGTTAGGCTACGGTAGCCTTTTCAGATGAATACGTGATACCAGATGATCCCATTTAGTCAAAATGACATTCAAGTATTTTCTTCAAGCTCATTAATTGGGGATGGCTTTAAAAGGAACGGTCGACCGTGTAGTAGCCCAAATATTAGGTACATTATCTGCTACTTTCGAGCTGAGACCTCCTGAAGCAACGAGTTGATTATCACACTGAAATTAAAATTTTAGATGTATAACACGCATACCTTTCAGTCCTCCATTAAACCGACTATTGCCGCTAGAAACGCTATCGGTTCTCTCTAGGTCCCGATCTCGGCTACCAGTCGAACAGACGTGAACCACCGTCAAGCGCTCTTTGCTGGACCACCACGGTCCCTACATGATATCCTCTCTCGTGTCATGTTCGGCGGCTGCGCTCCCTCCGAGGTAGCATTACTTTCGAGAAGGAAAAAAACCATTCAAAACTTAAATGGAATTATTTTAAAGAAAATAAACCGTACAGTATCCCTCATCTACATCGAAAACATCAGAATTAAACCAGAAACCTTCGCTGTTCGTTTCTTTTTCAAACATTTTCCAGACTAAGGAGAAGTCATAGATGCTACGAACCGAGGTGCTAATATTTTCTTCGTCCTTTCCGTCAAGCTAGCCTTTGCAAAGGTTGGTATCGAATAACTTTAAAGGCAAATTAAAGATCAAAGAAAAGAGTATCATATTGAAGACCTGACAGGACGAGCATAACTCGAGCAGGCTGCTCAAGGAAAAAGCAAATAGCAAAAAGTTCCTCAACTAAATGACCTGCTTGCGGAGAATTCACAAGTGGAAAACAGTCACAACAGCCTTTACCGTAATTCACCATACGCTGCATATGCCGCCTTGCCAGAAGTTCGCGGAAATGTCAATCAACCCCAAAATCATTACAACTTGGCAGGCGTTTCGACTTCTAGATCGTAATATAATACTTTCAGGAACTGAGAGTTGCCATTCGACCGGCGCACGGAGTATCCACGTGTACCGGTTTTCTCCACCCAACGGCAACCAACCTCCGTACTACTCATAATCATTCAACGCCAGCCCGAGCAGGAAGCAGTATGTCCTTTCTACTCACTTTGAGAAATCTAAATCAGACTTCTCCTTTCACACGAATCTCTTTCAATGATCCTGATCTCTTCTATATATCTCGATTTCCTACCTTCTCCAGCCACCATATCGGTCAACAAGGTATCCATTCATGAGAAGTTCAATCTCCGAATCACTACAACCTCATCTATCGCCATACCTCAAGCAAATACTCTATCAAAAAGAGTATGACTAGTTCTCGCATATTTCCCATACCTTGCAGAAATAGGGCCACTAGTAAATCCGACGTTTATACCCAATCACTCTCATCTTCCGGCCCAACTGCTCCCCCAGTTCGACCAGAACGTTTAGGCTCCATATTAGAGCCACCATATCCTTAGTCTTAAACGGCTCTCACCGACGATACTTCTCCCGACGAATCTTTGGAACTCAATAAATTCCAACGTTCTCTCGTTTGCAGATAGCACAGCATAGATCACCAGGGCATCATCCACAGATACGACGTTCCCCTTGTTTTGACTTGATGTTTTGTCAACTGCTGTTCTAACGCCGCAGTGCGCGAAGCGAAAGTCTCACAAGGTTGGCGATTTGTGGGCTAAACTCCAGTCCCGGACGGGATTCGAACCCGTACTTGTCCTTTTCGAGGACCGTGCTCTTATCCCTTACACTACCGAGACCCCGCTTGCCCTCGCCTTCATAATGGCTTATTTTTTTTATTTTTTAATTTTTATTTCTATTTTTCGTAGCGCATCGAGCCTTTTAGGAAATTGCACGGAATTCACACTTCGTTTAATAAACCCTATCATTCAACTTGCGTCTCCATGAATTCGTACAAACACCTCTTTGAGCTATATTTTGGAATCCATGGAAATCGGCCTTGAACGAACGCGCCGTTACATTGAATTAGTTCCAATGATGGAAAATTAGAATTTTCGCCAACGAATAAAAGTAGTAATATTATCGTCGACGACGACTCCACAAATACCTCCAACTGGCTTCTGGAGATGGCGGAGCGAGGGTTAGTCTCGTGCTGGCTTTGTTAGGGAGAAGCGGGAAAATGGCTATGAGAAGGCTCTTCTCAACGGCTTTAGCATTCGAAGCATGAAGTATATGTGTACCTTGGGATCTCAACATTTCTTCCACGCTTTCTTCAAAAAAGTGTGTCAAAGCGTGTGCCACGCGCAAGTGGCACACAGCATTTGTTTCTTCTCTCCAACTTCTTCTCGTCAATAAGCTTATCAGGCTTACAAATCTTATCTGTATACAATTGTATTTACTCGGGGTAGGCTCTTCCCATCGGATTAGAACATACAAACAAATCCGCAGTCATATTTCTCGTATTTCTGCAGGTTTTGCAGTGTACTACTTCCCAGACAATTTTATCCTGAAAAGGGATTGTATGTGAGGCAAGGCGACCGTCTTAAGGTTTTCGCTGACCTGTCTACGCATCGCGATTCAAGATACCGTCAGTGTGGGAAATACTGAAACGATGAGCGATTTCGAAAAGGGACTCATCAAATCCGCGCAAAGACGGAACGGCTGGTGGATGTCTGCGAGGCTCCACCGTTTTTCGAAATCTAACGAATTGAGAGCACCAAAGTAGCTATGTAGTCTAATGTATATCATAAACATAGGGAAGGTGCGATTTGGAGAAACCCTCCAAGCAAGTAAATTACGAAAGTCCGAAAAATTGTCACGATATTTATGGGGCACCCTGTATACTATATACTGAACCACCGCTATTATTCTCATTCCAAAAGAGTCATCACCCAAGTCTTTAGCACCCAGCCTCGATAAACATCATTCGGCGGTGGAAGCAATGAGAGGCTACCATTAATACACATTACTACGGTCAAAGTCATGAAAAACCACCATCAATATACCGTAAAAAATTGTTCAAATTGGAAAACTTATGATTCATTCATATGGTATCTCGGTACCACGAACTTCAAAACTGACAAATCCATATAAAGATTGCATTGATCGATTTTATTTAATGACCCTACTGATAGTCGTGCAAGTGCTGTGCTGTTGTTACTCACATTGTCATTAAGGCAAATCTTCAGATACCAACAAGCTAAAATGAAGAGCATTGCCTGATCGCTTGCAAAAAACTCTCTTAAAGACTATCTAGCGATATATGAATATATTTTGGCACATTTACATACATCAGTTGAGCAATAGCCACCTTGGAAAGCGGACCAGAGCATTCATAAGTAAGAACCGATGGACTATGTACGATAAAAATTTTCACTGTAAGCGAATAGAGAGAAAACCTGTGAAGGCGTAAAAAGAAATCGTGCGATTAACGCGTAATTCAGAACCTTACGTGTCATAAAACAGCCAGAGAAAACAGGACCTCACAAAAATCTTGCAGAAAATTTCAGCTGCATAGGTAAGAGCAGGAGAGAAGCAATCTCACATGGAGTGCAATATATGTACAGAATGTGTAATGCAGGTGTACTTAAACGCACAGTTCACGTCAAGAACGGTTTCGAGATTTCTCCCTAAGATAAACCTGTAACCCCCAAGGTGAGACTAAGGGATGCTGTCGGGTCGGAAAACAGTCACGATTGGGTGTAATGCAGCCAGCTGTATGTAATTGCGCGCGCATTCGAACAGCTCATCCAAATAACCCTTCCAAGTGGCTTTTTGCGTGACATTCTCGTCCAACCCTAATTTTACTTTTTTTGAAGCCCTATACTTCCCTGAACAGGCCGATTTCCGCGTTTCCTTCGCCATTTTTTGCTTTATTCTGGGCTACCACTTCCATTACTCGTCTGTAATTAGATAACTCAAAATTACCGTGAACTGTGCCTTTATAATAACTCATACAAAGCTGCAGTGCCAGCAGAGTTGAATCTAGCTTTGAGAGTATTATTGAAGCAAGACACGCTTTCCGACGCCAGTTCTTCCCTTGACGGGCTCTCGCACAGAGCTAGAGTCATTGAAAACGTTTTCGATATTCGAGCTCCTTATCGTTGCTGATCTTTTCTCGTGGTCTGAATGTTAAAAATTGGATTTTAATACAAATCAAGGAAACCCAAAAAATTCAATCATTGTAGATGAACGTGAATGAAAGAGTCAGATTCACTTCGTTTATGAGTAATGTCATAGCTCTAACTATTATAAAACTTATCACAAAAAAGAATTGGTTGCATTTTATGCAAACGCATCCAGCAAACGCGTGTGTGTACGACGGACATACGAAAATGCTTGAAGATTTCTAGCATCTCATCTAAACATGGACATTGATAAATTTCTCTAGTGAATGATCCAGTATAAGGAACGGCATCCAAGGATTAAGATGTTAAAGGTCAGGGGATAGGGCTTTGGTTCCTCTATTGGGAAATGATGCCTCCCTCAGAAATACAATGACCTCCTTCGATGATAACACTTTGCAAAACAGAGGGTCATCTTCAAAGGAGAAATTGGTGAATTTTTACTTTCTTGTGGACCACCAAATTTATTCTCAGATATAATGCGTGTTTAGTCCAGAGATGCC